TTTTTTTGGTCAATGGAAACTGATTCAATGAATATTATATAGTCAAATGTAAATTCAGAGTTTCTCATAATATATAGTACACGTCTATTAATGAAATGCTCATTAATATATATTGTTGTTTGAACCTATGTCTAACAATTTAATTATTATCTTATGTATGATTGATTACGTTAAGAATTAAGATTGTATATGATTATTAATTATTATTTTTTCTTTCAGGATAAACGAAAACTCGGAAACTAAACGCACCATTTAATAAAAGCTTTACCATGAAGCTTCTACCTGTACCTCTTGCGCCCGTTTCTCTGCCGCCTCCAGGCCAACCCTCTTCACATCCCTCCACTCCTACACTGCTTCATCCCCATCAGTCCCAATTGTCTTCACATCATCATGTTCATCATCAACAACACGGAGGTGGCCCCTATTCTCCATCGGCAGCCGATTTTTCCTTTTGGCGGTACCCCTCATCCCAATTGAGTGCATACGCAGCAGCCGCTGCTGCTAACAATTCTACTACAACTGGCGGATCAGGAGTACCACTTATAGCTCCGGTTCCTGCACTAAGTGGGCTTGGTGGACCAGCTGGAGTCACCACAGCAGGAGGTGGTCCATTACCGCCTCCATTAGGAATTGATCCTCGGTTGTGGGGAAGAGAAGATGTAGCTGCATTTTTAAAATGGTGCGAACGAGAGTTTGATCTGAGGGAGTTTGATATGGACGCGTTTCAGATGAATGGTGAGCTGAGAAATATATAGTAATTAATATTATATATTAGTCTAAATGTTAAAGCAGAGATAATATTTACAATTTTATCTAGAAGATTCCTACAATTATTTTCCTAATATATTTTTGATCTGCAATATTTTTTTTCTTTTCAGGAAAAGCCATGTGTCTATTAACTAAAAACGATCTCTCAGAACGTTGTCCAGGAGCAGGTGACGTTCTTTATAACGCACTTCAAATGTTAGTACGCGATGCTGCATTACTTCAAAGGTGTCTGCCCGGGTCACCAGTTACTCCAACGTCCAGGCATCACACGTGGCCCCACCTTCTTGCTACTGCACAAGTAAGCAAAGATTTAATAAACCTAACTTTTGAAATTTTGGAAAAGATATTCTTACAAAATAGAGCTTAGAGATTCTTAAACATTAAATTTATTTAAAAATCACAAATCGTAACATATAAAAGTAACCTTGATCCAATGATCTAATTAAATTATAAAAGTTTTGAATGAACCATTTGTATATAATAATGTGAATTACTTCTTCTAAATCATTTACTCTATGGTGGTCTCATATGATATAAATCATTTATCTCAGGATGCTGCTTTCCATGGACATCTAGCTGCAGCAGCTCACTTTGCATCACAGCAACATGCAGCCGCAGCAGCTGCTGCCGCATCCGTTGCCCTAAGTCCTGCTCCTTCACTAGATAGCCAGCAAGGAAGCCCACAACATGCTGATCAGCAGCAGCAACAACAACAGCAGCAAATGCAACACCATGCGAACGGATCAACAGTTTCATCTGTTACGCATCAACAGCAGCAACAGCAAGGATCGGCGCCTGTGGCACCTGCTCATGCAATTGCTGCTTCTATGTATCAAAGCAATGGACGGTCTGATAGTGAAGACGATGAGTGCCAGGTAAATAATGGAATAATAATAGAAATTTCATATGCTTTCATTATAAATCAATATTATTTATCAAAACTTTAAAATAAATTATGCTTCTATAATCTTATTTTCAAAATTATATTTAATCCAACAAATATTATTAAATTTTACTTGTTATTAATCATTTCAAGTCAAATTAAAGCTTTCTTTGTTATATCTTAAGATATAACAGAGAAATTTTAGAGAAATGAATTCATTTCTCTAAAATAAAATTTCAAATAGACTTTATAATTAAATTAATATTTTTTTTCAGGACACAAAAAGTGCATTATCTTTAAACAATGGTGTTTCTCCACCGGGCACACCAGGTTTACCACCACCTTCCGGATATTTATCATTCCCAATGCAGCAGGCTCCACCAAGATCACCAGTTGAATTAAAAAGTCCTGCACACTTTAGGGCTTCTTCTGGACATGGCGAATTTTTCCAAACTGAACCTTCAGAACCAAACACAAGTAAGTTTTTTTGAAATAATACATTAGATAATCAAAGAACTGCAATATAATGTTTTAATATTCCAACGTTTTTTTTTTCTTAAATCCATTTTTTTAATGCTGCTATGATTTTTATCTCATTATATATTTTTATTCTCTTTCTTTTTTAGATGGTCGACTTCTTTGGGACTTCTTACAACAGCTTTTAAATGATTCTTCTCAAAGATATACAAACTATATTGCCTGGAAAAATATTGAAACTGGTGTCTTTAAAATTGTGGACCCTGCAGGACTGGCTAAACTTTGGGGAATACAGAAAAATCATCTTTCTATGAACTATGACAAAATGTCCAGAGCTTTAAGATATTATTACAGAGTCAATATTTTGAGAAAAGTGCAAGGAGAAAGACATTGTTACCAGTAAGTACAAATATTATTTCCTATAATTTAAATAACTTGTTCATTTTATTTTCGTAAAATTCTTACTTTTTAATAATGCTATATTATATTATCAAATATTAAACCCATATTTTAATTATGATATGGTTATTATATACAGTTTATGAATAATATTAGTGGGTTTTTGAATATGCCTAGCTTGTTTTGCAAATATTTGCTCCTTTCCTTGTTATTTTAGGCGTTGTAATTTTAGATGTTTATTATATTTATAATAAACTTTCATAGAAGACATTTATCCTTACAAGTATTATTTTTTCAGGTTCCTTAGAAATCCATCAGAACTTAAAAATATAAAAAATATATCACTTCTACGTCAACAAATGTCTCCAACGAGAGTGAATTCAACCACACCTGTGAACCAACAACAAGTAGTCCAAACATCAACTCAATCCCACCAACTCACTGTACCAACTCCAGTTTCTAGAAGTTCACCTATTGTCAGTACTATTCCTTACTCACCAGATTTGACTGCAACAATTAAAACTGAACCTAGGTTGGATGATGTTGATGTTGAAAATAATAGCATGGAAGATGAAATGCCCACTGATCTCAGCATGATGAGCAGTAATAGTGAATTGAGAGCCACTGATCTAAGTGCCAAATATAATGGACACAGGATTAATATGATCATGAATGGTAGTCATTCAACATATGATAGTATAAAAGTTGATAATGAGAGTAAATGAGATATGGTAAGATATTATATGGATTTCTATGTAACTAGTTGATACTTGAGATTTTAAGCACATGTTGGCATTGGAATCATATGCATAAATGAGATATATTTAGATAATTGAAAATAGTGAATTTGAATACTTGTGAATGATTAATTTTTTTTGAGTTATCATTAATGTTTAGAATTATGTTTTAACTCAAATGGCTGTATTTATCTTTACTTTGAAAGCGTAGAACTTTAATGTTGTTACAAATTTTAATATTTAGGTTGATCAGGTAAAGTTATTACCTGAATTGACACAACTTCTCATCTATTTCTGAAGAAGCAAAGAAATGATATTCCAAAATAAGTTACAAGTTCTAAATTTTTTCCTTCACTAGACTTTCAATGCTTAGAAGTTTTTATGCAATTTACCTAATAATTTTAACAATCTTCCATGAATGAAGATGATTGTTAATATAACTAATTATATCTTTAATCAGAATGATTAAATATTATTTGTGTTATGGGAATGAATGAACCTATTACTAGATTGAATGACTCAGTACTGCCATGTATTTTAGAACTCATTATTAAATTTTTGCAATGTGGCGTTGAAAATTGTGGTTGTAAACTTATAAGGATATAGTGGTGAAGTGATTAGTTCATAAAGAAATTGTGCCAATGGAATTTATTATATTGGATCTTAGCTATAGTAAGTTTGATTTAATTTTTATTGGAAATTTAAGATAATTTTCAATAAAGCTGTTAAGGCGATTATAAAAGACTATAAGTATGTTTAATATTTGTATAAACCTAATATTGCTTTATAATGCACAGATTATATAAAAATAAATATTATAGAATACTATATATTGAAATTGGTATTCAAAAATATGGTTTAATATAGCAAAGTTTATTTTTATACATTAAATTTACTTATGTGCCAATACAATATTATATGAAATGTAAAGTAATTACTTATGAAACTTATTGTAACTTTCTCAAACACATAAGTAAATGCTTTATACTCCATAAACAAAAATGTTTAAAACTGTTGTGAAAACTAAAAACGTGATAAGAGTTGTTTTACAATTAATTAAATAATTTACTACAAGAACATTAATCTTCTGCAAAATTTTAATTATATTAAACATTCCGATTAAATTTAATTTTAAATTAATCGAATTACCAAGTATATGATTATTTTTAATGCAATTTTCTGATTATAATTAAGTATAGCAGACATGATGTAAATCCAGCAAGACTGTGATATATCTTATGTTTAGACCATTAGAAAAGTTATGAAAATTTTAAAGATATGGAAAAATTTCTGTGACTGGCAATATTTAGAGATAATTAATATGTACAAAATCTACCCTAAATATATTGGTAAAATAAATAAAATTAGTATATGGCCCATTATACAATTTTTATCAAAATTATTTTTTTGTAAATCTATAGCAAATTATTTTTTTATACATAAAGTACAAATATTTTTGGTAGATTTGGTTTTCAGCACTTAAGCCACACTTCATATTATTTAGCAATGAATTTTCAATGAAACTATAAATAGATGTAGAATTGTAGAACTTCATTGTTATTGAGTGTTGAATAATTGAATAAATATAATAAAATTTAAATTAGATTGATAAAATAAAACAACTATACATAGTGAATAAATGGTATGTAAATAGTTTTTATATATGAGAAAAAATAAAGCTTTAATGATAATAATTTGTTTACTAATTGTTGTTTAAATAAAGAATTCAAGGCTCTTAAAATATGTGTATTTATAAAACACTTATACATAAAAATTCATTTTGTATCTATTTTAGAAAATACTAGTTAGCTATATATACTTAAATCTAATGCATTTGAAAGAATATCACATCATCTGCTATTATGGAAGTTGTATGTCTCGGTTTGCCATCCTCTCCATTAATTTCTGAGTAACTGATTCGCCCGGTGACATGAACTCTTTGTCCCTTTTTTAGATGGTTGTATACGGACTCTCGCAAGGAAGGTCTGAATACGCAAACTCGATGCCAGTCTGTTTTTTGCAATAGTTCACCACTTTCGTATCTGAAGAAAATAAGGATATGATTGAATAATTAATCTGAACATATATAAAAGAATCTAAATATATAGCTTATAGCCAAGCAGCTTATAAAATTACTTGTAATTTGAATGAGTAGCAACAGAGAATGTGACTACAGGATGCTCTTCGCTTCCTCTTTTTTGTGGCTCTGCCCCAACCCTTCCGAGTAAAGTGACATTGTTTATAGCTGAAATACAAACGATATTTATGCACATGAATTGTTTAACTTGGTAAATGACTCAATTCAATACTAACATTTTTCTATTCTCGTAGGCTCATTATTACTCGCAGAACATGAAAGAATCTTGAATGAATTTTGTATTTTTGCGTTTTTAACAACATTGGCAAGCTATTAAAGAAAACATTTGGATAAAACATAACCTATAAGATAAAAACCAGTTTGCTAGTATTACCTTTAGAGAGAACATTTTTGTAATAGATTCCTGAATACTATTTATTAAGCATTAATGAACTAATATGTAATATAGGAATTTCACAGTATTTTTTAACCTAAAGTTAATTTCGGAAAATGTGATCTGGTTATTTTCTGTTTGGAATGGTTTTGCGCTAAAATATAACTTCAGAGCATTTTTATTTTGTTGGTACAGCTTGAAATGCTTGTTTCTTATTGGTCTGTCTGTTTGAGCTTTGATTTTATAACCTCTCAATTTTAGATGTTTAGGAGATTTGCAACGATACATTTGTATTTTTATTTACTATATTTTAAGGATTAATATGCAACATTTATTAGGATTTCGCGAAGTTATACCTGATCAAACAATTCCAGAAAAATGGCAAGAAATAAAATTAAATACCGGTAATTTATTTGATTGCACAGTATTATATTGTTTATTTAAACATACAATAAATTATACTGATAAAGCTTCAATTTTAGGTGGTACTCAGAGTACTTTGCAAGATATAAAGATGACTGAAAGAGCCGGAGGCTATGCTTTCAAAGACACCACTAAATCCTATACCCGAAATAGATTTATATACTGGTAATAATTGATTACTTTTTAATAACATTATTTCCTTTTATATCGCTTAATAAAAATAATATCTATTTAGGAGAAGCAATCATGATATATTAGAATTGGTTGACACCAGCTTGGATCTCAATTTATCTGGAAATCAATTGCGTTTGAAGTTTATGAATTCTCCTTTGCTTGATGGTATTACCATTTACGAGGCCAATGGATTTGTGATGTTGTTAGTAGCTACTGTTAGTAGTGTACATAGGATAACATTTCCACATCCTGATAGTATTCATCGAAATGTAAGCAATTTGTATTTATAAAGTTAAAAAGTATATTAATTGATCAGTAAATAGTTTGTTTATATTTCATTTGATATAAACTTACACTGTAATAATTATAGTATAAATAATTAGACTTTGGCATGAACATTAAAAAAAATGTGTATTGGCTAATATAATTTGCTTTCTAAGAAAAATATAAATCAAGAAGTTAGTAAAATTATTTTCTTTTGAGTTGTTTATTGCTTTGAAATATATTATTTCTATTTACTTTTAATATCTTTGTTAAATCTTTCAGGATAAATTTTCATTGCAGAATGATATAACTGTACCTTCTATATTTCATGATGGTAATCATTCTCACAATTGCCATGTTCTCACTAATACAGGTAACATAGCAATTAATGAATCTAAAGTAATTACAAAGTTTGAGTTATTATTTTGTAATATTAATTTAAAATTGTAGGTGCACCATTACCCAATACTGCAGCAAGTTGGCTATCTCCAAATGCAGATTATGGTGTATTTGCATTAGCTTTTAATTCTGGTACACTTACTTGTGTAACAATGGACTATACATCTGGAAATATCACCAGCATAGACATGAAAGAAGATTCCTATGTACCAAAATTTATTTCAAACTTTACAGGAGTATTGAGGTGTGATAGGAGTCTTTTATAATAATATTGCATTTAATTAAATCTAATGATTAGTTGAATCTAATAATATTATATCAATTTTTTTTATCTTGAATATTTAAAAAAAAAAATCTTTCAGGGGAAAGAGTAATGAAAGTCATTCATGTAGTAGTTTAGCATTGATATCTTTAAATAAAGAAATATTCCTATTCGGTGCTTGTCGTGATGGCGAATTAAGAATGTGGAATGTAAAGCGTGGATCTTGTGTGGCTTCATGTTCTCTGTCAGCTGGGGGCTTTGATGTGAAACATCTATTACCAGGAGGTTGATATTAGTTTTTTTTTTTTAATTTAATATATTAGTGCCACCTATATATTATATTGTAAATAAAATCAAAGTGAGGTTCATTTTCAAATCTAACTATTACTTAGGTTGAAATTTTAAAACTATTATTATATTCAGTTTTTTAGATATTTGAAAAGGTTTAATTATGGTGTATTAGTGACATTGTTTTCAAGATTAAGTGGATATTAAATATAAGCATATTATATTATTTTTAGCTCAAGGCCACGTAGTGCGCTATTGTATTGATAGCACAGGTGCTATATTACTAGCAATATTTTTATGTCTTGGAAATGAGAGTCAAATTGTTATATTTAAGCCTGTTATGGAGCAATCATCATATAAATTTTTACGAGTTGCCAGCTTGTTCGCAGAACAGGTAAACTTTATTCAATTAGTATCACTGATTTTAAATACAATTATTTAAATATAAATAAATAAAATATAAATATTTGATACCTTTATAAATATTTTATTTATTTCAGCATGATTTAGTAGATATGGCTTTAAGTGAAACACATATTTGGGCGTTATGGTCAAATTCACAAGGTATTGTTGTTTGAGAATTATTATAATAAATATATATTACAAACTTATCACTATATGGAAAATAACTTAGGTATTTATATATTCACTTAGGAGAACCGTCACTTAGTTGTTTGCTATTTAATAATCATTTTGGACTGGGTTTACAATGGATGTCGGCATCTTTAGAGTCAGGTAGAGAACGAGACTGCTTAGGTGTAGAAATTGGAACTGATCCTAGGCAGTTGTATTGTTCATATATCTTTCATCCAGGCCAATTTCAATTATCAGTCATAAATAAAGCACTTAGTGTGAGTATATATTCTTTTATCTTTATTACATATCAATAAGTTTTCTATTTTTTTATTCCTATTAAAGAAGATGAAGTAGAGTAATAAATATTAAATTATTTTTAGTAATAATAACACTAAAATTTTAGATATATAGCCGTCAACCACTACTGAATGAACTAAATATGTCCGCTTCCATACTTAAGGAAAAAGTGTGTCAGGCTGTGGAATTAGAGATTCATTCAGAAGTTGAAATGTGTGAAATAACAGATGATGTTTATCTTGAAATTGCTAGCAGGTATATATTATATCTTATATGAAATAAGCATTATGAATATAAATGAAAAAAAAAATTATTCACCAAAAAGATCTTATTTTGAGATTTTTTTTCTAATTTTTATACTATATTAGGAATATGATATAAAATTATTCAGATATAATTATCTTCTAATTTAGATGCTGGTCAAGATTTTATTCATGCTGTTTGCAATATCATTTATCAGGAGCACGACCATTAGGCCTTGTTACATTAGATCAATCTTGTGGAGCTGCATTAGTTCGCAGATCCTTAATATCTATCATCAGACCAGTAGAACCTATTGAACATCTAGTTCTTTGTGGTGACTATAATACCACTGTACAGAATTTTTCCTGCACTCCATATTTAATGAATAAACCAGGATTGAAAGAGTTAATTAAATTGATATCTGGTCTTGTTATGATTGAAAGAAGGCTTCCAGATGAAGTCAAAAGTGTTATGGAAACTGATTTATATAAACTAAAGAAGCCATCATTGATAATAACAGAATTGGTGACTAGTCTGAAGATGAGAGAGGACGAGGCAGTAAGTAAATTGAATGAGTTTTTTTTTTAAATGTTACCCTTATAAGTTCCGTTAATATTGAGTCACAAATATGTATTTGTTGAAGGTATTCTCAATGGAATTTTTGGATGAACTGTGGCAACAAGTGGGTTCTTTAGAAAGCCTGAATGAAGCAATTAATCTTTTGTTAAGCATTTTAGATATTGAGCAAAATGAAGGTGGTGCTACATTCAATGACAGTAAGTCCATATTTGAGATTGGAACTTCAGTTGTATAAATGTTTTAATTGTAATATATTAATATCTTCTATTGCAGTCAGTAAACAAGCTTTTTCATCGATGTCAGTAAGTCATTTGTACGGCAGTCATTTTGGCATGTCTCTGATTGTGGAATCACTACGTCAAGTTGCTACAATCAGGTAAGAAGAAGCTCTGTTATTTGTTGTGATATTTTTGTATCAAAATTATTTATCTATCAGTTTCTTTATTTATTCTACAGGCTCAGTTTGTGTAGAAATATGTTAATATTGTTGCAACTTATGGCTGAAGCAGATTATGGCAATAATGCTTTTCTGCAATCAACACAACTGCATATCCAGGTTCTTCTTCAAATTTATCATATCATGTTATGGCTTTGTGAAACACCTACTAGTCCAACTCTGCCTACAAATATGCTGTAAGTTATTTCGAGGAATTGGAGATTTGGTTGGAAAGAATAAAATTCTTCTTACAACTAAGTCATTGTTTTATGTTTCAGTGAAAGCAGTATTCTCCGTTTCTCTTCTTTGCAATTGAAAACAAATCTCCCATCACCAATATCAGTTTCAAGAAGAACTTTAACACTGCTTGAATTATTTTTGATGGGTGTTGGAGCTTCTAAAGTACTGATCGATATGTCCAAATTCAAAATAAATAATATTGAGTCATGGCATTCTTCAATGCTGTCGTATATTCATATTCTATTGAAGATAATGTATCCTTTATAAATTATATACAAGTACCACACATTTATTACATTATTTTTTTAAATCCTACATCTGAAAAAGAAAAAAATGTTTTTCAAGATTAGTTTAAAAAAAAAAAAAAACTTTTTCAAAAAATTTTGCTATTTCTAAACTAGAAAAATTGTCAATAAATTTGAATGTGAACAGAATTAACATGCAAATGTTTCTGTCCAGCTTTCACAAAATATAGTTTAAAATTATTTAAAATGACTAAAGTATTAATGTTTTGTTTAATTCCAGTATTACATTATTTACATAAATGAATAATTACTATTTCTGTTTATTTGTATTTTTCTTATAATATATAAAGCTGGCCTCTTAATGACAAATTTGCATTTAGCGAATGGCTTGTTGGCAGTGCACAACATTTATTACTCCAAGAATATGTGCGTTTGCTTTATTGGTGTGATTGGAACTATTGCAGTCGTAAGTAAAGTATTACATTACATATTACAAAAGTTCACTTTTTATGATATTTGTTTAACTTGTAAAATTTCTTTTAGGACAATTTATTCTTGGTGTTTCACTTCTTGAAACCGGTGAACCCTACAAGGCTTTGGACTTATTTTTACAAGCTTCACAGGGGATTTCAAATGAATCATTTTTAGTGAGAAAAATTCTTTCAGGAAAATCAGAGAATTCTATTCAAGATCGTGTCACCTATTACTTAAAGGTACAATATAAGAAGACCCAAATTTCTTCAAAATGTACTCAAACTATTGATACAGTATTTACTCGGCTTTAACAAATAACAGTGTGCAAACATGATTCATGTTGATTCAAATTAAATCTGATTAAACCTGTAATCAAATTGATTATATTCTTTACAGGTATTAAAATTATTTGAAGAACATGGAGCATCAGATTGTATAATAACTTTGGCAAAAACAGCAATTGACATTGCTCCTGCAGATGATCCAAATGTTGTGAGTTTTTTTCCATATTTTGATCTTACCATGATATTATTTACAATTTATTCCAATATTTGATAAATATCACTTTTCAGGCTATGTTTCACTCCATCATGTTTAAAAAACATTTGCTTTTAGAGCATTTTGAAGATGCTTATAGATCTTTAAGTTATAATCCTGACAATAATATGAGGAAAGATTGTCTACGAGAATTAGTTGGTGTTTTGTTCTCAAAAAAGAAGTTAGATATGCTATTATCATTTCCGTATATAGAGTTTTATGATGATTTTCAAAAAATTGTGGAAGGAAGAGCAAGGGCTTCTGATATAATGACAACTCAATATTATAACTTTTTATATTCTTTTTATATAAATGTAGGAAATATGAGAAAAGGTTGGTGTTGTTATACGAATATTTTATTTTCATTTCTTTAGCATTTTGCATAATTTGTATAATTCTAATAATACTAGACAAGAATTAAGAAAATAATTTTTGAGGTAGGGCCTGTTATAAATTTTATTCTACTTTTATATTTTAGCGGCAGCAACTATGTATGAGCAAGCATGTAGACTTGGTGTTGAATGTCCAAGTACTTTAAACACTTTACAAAAACAAAGAAATTGTTTACTTTCAACAATAACCGCACTACATTTAGTTTCTCCTAATTATACATGGCTGGTTAAACCACTAGATAGGAACAATTTGGAAGTTCAGCATACATCAAAACGTGATCAAAATGGTGAAGTATGTATTAATTTTTAAATATTATATGTAATTTTAATATGTTTATTTTTTCTGATTTACTAATGTTGTTTGCTCAACATCTCATCATTCATCATCAGATTGGTTTAAGGTAATGTTTTTTTGCTTCAGATTTTACCAGCTAAGCAGAAAGTAGACGTTGTAGATCTTCGTGAAATTGAAAATGAATTGGAACTTGTTAACGCTCGATTAAAATTAGCGAAACATAGCACTGAATCTCAGGCTCTTGTTGGAACAGGTAATTTTAATTATTTTGAAATCATAGTTTTCTGGTTTGATCAATGAATATTTATTATTATCATATTTATTTATGTTATATATTGTTTTAATGAGCTATTTATTAATTTTTATATTAAATGTCTAAAGATATGGAAATATTTTAAAATATTATCTACTTCTTATCCATTTTATACTTTTTAGATATCCATGAGCTGGTTGGTTGTCTGAGTTCTGCCGGTCTTTATACAACAGCAATATCTTTATGTACAAAATTAAATGTTAGCATGCGAGTTCCATTTGAAAATCTTGCCAGTGCTTGTGTTAGATTAACTGAAAATGATGATACTGAAGCTTGGAATTGGATGGTTTTGAACGATTTATCTGGTATGCAAATCAAAGTAATAGATTCATACAATAGAATAATGCTGAAAGCACTTGGACTTATAAAATATTTGCTTTGTCTATAGATCTATAATTATTACATCTCTATTATTGAGTAATGATTTCAGATTTAGGAATTCATGAAAAAAATGTGGGTATAGTAGCATGGAGGTTACTACAAATGCTTTTAAATCAGCACGAAAAGAAGTCCAGCACAGAATTACACATGGCTGTAACAAGAAAATTATTGAGTTTAGGAGCTTTTTTGCCAAGCTGGTTAATGACATCTTACAAAGTGAGTAATTCCAAAAATCCAATGAGAATGTCTCATATTTTACTGAATTTGTTTCAGATTTATCTATCTGAAATTGAAATTTCTCACAATATCTATGTTTATTTTAGGTAAGAAATGCTTCTGAGTTGTTGCGTTTAATATTGCTATCGGGAAGACTTATAGAAGCAACAGATTTATGCAAGGAATACATATGGGCAGTTTTAGGACGTGGGTACGAATTGTTTGGAATGGACTCATATCTTTTGCCTACTTCACCTCCAGTCTGTATGCCAATTTCAACAATAGACCATTTGTTAAGTGAATTAAGTTATCTGAAAGATGATGATGAAGTTTATGGCAAGGTAAATCTTTCTAAATTATTTAAATATGAGTTTAATTGCAATAAAGTAACTATAGAAAATACTATTAATCATATATTATATATATTATTATTAATTATGCATTAAATAAATTTTTCATTTTCAGTGCTACTCCGAACTCAGTGAACTTGTTGATTATTATGTAGAAAATGTGAAGAAAACATCTGTTGATATGATTAAATTTCGAAAGAGTGGTATTCATGGATAATATTTTGTAATTTTTAACAATGAAATAAACTGCTTTTGTATCAATTTTATATACCATTATATCTTTGTGTAGTGACCTACCTATGTTATAGATACTTCAGCAGATAGGAATCAAGATATCTAAAGTAAGAGATTTGTGGTTTTTTCTATTAATATTTACATACCTTAAGCTCGTTTATATAATGTGCGTCCTTTTTTCTAATTCATTCTTTCTATGTTATCTAGCACATAAATTCACTTCACCACTGTTGTTTAACATTGTTATTGTTTTGCCATTTTAAATCGCAAAACAAAACGATGACGCTTTAATGCGTCAAGTTTTCAACTTTAAGGAGCGTTTCGTTTTGGTTTTTCATATTTCTAATTATGGCAGCATTGAAGCGACTTTTATTATCAAGGTTGGGTAGATGGCGCCATCATCGAATTTTAGTCCGAGCTTTCGTCTTGTCAACGTCAAAATGGCGTTGAATTTTGTACACATTTGATGTTATTATAATATTTTTATGTGAAATGATATATTGACAATGTTTTTTTATATAAGTTTATGTGAATGTTATTGATTTTATATGTTTAATAATAGTGTTATTTAATGTCGCCAGACGTTGATATAAATCTTTCACCGCAGGAGTTGCAAGTTCTATCTGAACTTGACAGGTATATTTAAATACTTTTCATTGTATTAACAATTTAATAAATTATAGAAACTGATAATTTTATTTAATTTTAGTCGTCAGTTTGGTTTCCTGAGATTAAATACTCCCGAACATGCGAAGAAAAAAACATTGGTCTTAAAGGTAATATAAGGTTATGTTTACTTTGAATTTGCATTTGATAGCGTTCAATGTAATTGTTTTACAAATGTTTTACAGTATACGCTCAAAATGTATTATAATTAATAGTATTTATAATTATTTTTTTAATTATAGTATAAATTTTTTAATGTATATTTGGATCTATTTACAATAGCATATATTGAGAATATATAATTGTATGTTTTAGGCCATTAAATATTTGGAGCGTATGTTGGAGCAAGCTCATTGTGAGAAAGAAATTAGAAATAAACAGAAAAGTATAGAGTCTGAAAATATAGACTCAGAAGACAATAAAAGTGAAATGCTTATCGATAACTCAATCGATAAATTAGATAATTTCAGCAAAGAAATAAATATAGACCCTAGAACGTACTGCAAACTTGGTCATTTTCATTTATTAGTCGAGGATTATGCCAAAGGTGAGTTAATAGTGCTCTAAAGATAAGGATATAAACTTATTTAATTTAGTATATTTTAATTAAAATTAATATTTATGTTGATGCAAATGTTCTTAAACCTATATTTCAATTATTACCCTAATCTGGGTAGTTGCTTCAACTCAATCTTTTTTTTGAAAATAATCCAAAATGCAAACAATATATTAAATATAATTTATACATTCAATTAGTTCATTATATACATAATTTATTTAATTACATTATATGCATAATAATTTAATATTTAACTCATCTTAATTGTTCTAATTTGTCAAAAAAAATTATTTTGTTTATATGGAAAATATTAGTAAATGTTTATTTGTATATTCTGTTTTCAGCATTATCGGCTTATCAAAAATTTTTTAGTTTAAAACAAGATTATTGGAAGGATCCCCAATTTTTATATGGATTAGGACTAGTTTATTTTCATTTCAATGCTTTTCGATGGTGAGTGACTTATTTTTTTGTATTATGATTTTATTTTTCTGAACTCTAATAGCCTTTTTTTAATCAAAAATTAATTTTTATTCAGTTTTTTATTAAAGTTTCTTCAATTTTAATACTTCAAAGGAAAAAACTGAGTCTCTTTAAATTTTAAATTTGCTTGTTTGATAATAGTTCCCCATATCCACAAAACAGAAAATATTTATAGTTAATGAATTAAAAACATAAATTTTTGAGGTCAAAGGAGGATTTTGGTTTAGAATTATAAACCCATAAATAATATTATATATCATAATATTATACAATCACATTATAAGACTTAATAACTTAATTATTAAGCCATATATATGCTTTTTATATTATGCATGTTCTTTGTTTCTAATATCTTGTGTATGATCTACATTAAGATATATTAAAAACGTATTATTTATGCAAAAATGATATATTAACAGTATAAATATTCATTTAAATGATTTTGTTTAAAATATAATTCTACTTTTTTTAACTAATTTTACATAATATTGTGAATTAGATTATATTATTTCATCCAATAATACCACCTCCCGGCTAGCATTTCTCGACTAAAATATGGATATTTCTTCAAATTAATAAAGAATATTATACATCATAATATTATATTATCACATTATATGACTTAATAATTATTAAGCCACATATATGCTTTTTATATTATGTATGCCCTTTGTTTATCGAATCGTTTATCGTTTATCTTGTATACAATCTACATCGAGAAGTATTAAAAATGTTTTATCTATGCAAAAATGATATATTAACAGTATAAATATTTATTCAAATGATTTTGTTTAAAATATAATACTACTTTTTTAACAAATTTTACATAATATTGCGAATTAGATTATACTACTTCGTTTAAAGTCCAATAACACCACTTTCCGGCGTGCATTTCTCGACTAAAAGATGGAGCTAGTATTTCATCAAAATAATCTTCCGATTTCCATTTTGTTCACAAATTAAAACTTATGAGACGCCTGAAATTTATTCGAATTAATGCACATGAATTTTCAAAATTAAAAATTTTTCGTTTTTTTTTCGAATAATACAAAGTTTTCAAATAAATTGTATATTTTATGTCTACGTGCTCATTGGAATGAATACAATGGCGCTTGGTGGCAGCGTTGCCAGATCGTTCTTGTTCCTTGATTTGGAAAATATATTTAATATTCTTTAAATTTCGCCAGATCAATGGTGTATAATATCAAAGTTTTGTCGACTTTAACAATAATTTTATTGATATTCAAAATTTTCAATTCCATTCCTGTTTATTTTTATCGATTGGATAAGTCATCTTTAAGTTTCTTTTAACAATACTAATTGTTGGCATCACAGCAATTGTTAGATCATTTTACAATTTTCGTATTATAGGCAAATTTCTATTTAGTTCAGTATTTAGTTTGAAAAAAACTAATTTCATTCCTGTGTGGGGGACTCTATTCATAATTTTTTAAACCCTTGGCTTGTTTTTGCATTATTGTTAATAATTATTATATAGATAATATTGGTATTGTTGCTTGATGATTCGCATCTTATTATTAATGCAGTAAACCTGAATACGATTAATATTTCAACGATGAATATGATTAATATATTAACGTGCTGCTGTTCTAAAATAATATTCTATAAACTATTCATCATTTCCCCTTTTAATTATGCTAACAATGATATGCGATAAGATTGGCGTGTCACCTATTCAGGGGAGAAGCAAATTGACGATTTCCTGAAAATGCTGATTTGCTCCCTTTTATTTTGCAGTAAAGTTTTTATGGTAACGATATAACTATGCAGGCACTGTAAAATATATCTATTTGAAGCAGAACTCATATTTTAAAGTTTCTGTGAAATTATTTTATTATTGATTGAATAATAAATAATTGTAAATTTACCAATTTATCCTTGATCCCAAATATTTTTCATCACTAGAAATTTCAATGTATTTTGTATACTTCAGAGACGAGATGATAAAGTACTATAAGTTCTGATTATTGAAATATCTCAAAAATCTACTTCACATGTATATACACATGAGATCGATAAAAGCTTAATTTATTATTCATTGAGAGAAAATAGACATGGAGTCTGTTTCTTGCTTAAACTTATATTCATGTTTTTGAAAATAAGTAAAACAAATGCAATCAAATTATGATTTTTAATCATGTATTTCCACATATACTATTTAACAAAACATACTTAATGATATTTAATACTTACTAATATATCACCAAACACAAATAAATTGTTAATAATGAAAATATATATATAAAATTAGCAAACCGGGCGAACTCCATTTCACCACCAGATGGTTTCATTTTATGTAACATTTCATTTGGTGATTAAAAGATGAAGAAAAAAATTGCCAGCTCTTGAAATTGAATAAAAATTTGCACAGTACATGTGATTGATTTGATTTGATGGTTTCCAATTGAAATGATAGGAATCGAATAACTTATTTTTTTACTTTTTTTGCACAATTTCACAGTGAACACAATGCCGGTTTATTGACTTGACTTAAAATTAACTGAGCAGAGATGAGTACAGTCAAATAAAAAATATTAGTTTATAGTACATGCTAAGAATCAGAGATGACGCTGTATGTGAAAAAAGAAAAAGTGTTTTTCGCTTTTCTGTTGAAATCTTTCTTCAATTTTCTTTACTATAAACCTCACGGAGTCCGAGACCTTTCCAACGAATGCAAAATCGTCGAAATCGGTTTGTGCGTTCTGGAGTTATATCGTCAGGAAGGAAAACCCGACTTATTTTTATATAATAGAT